GTGTCTCTCTGTCTGTGTCTCTCTGTGTCTCTCTGTCTCTGTGTGTGTCCGTAGCCGTGCTACACGGAGCTCCGGTCTCCGTGTTGTGCTCCCAGGTCGATGACCTCGTCGCTGAGGAGCAAAGGAAAGTCCTGTGGATCCCAGCGTCATCCTCCTGAGTTTACACTACAATATACACTACACTACATTATACACTACACTACTATACACTATACACACTACACTATTATACACTACACTATACACTACACTATACACTACAATATACACTACACTACATTATACACTATACACTATACACACTACACTATTATACACTACACTACATTATACACTACACTACTATACACTACACTATACACACTACACTACACACACTACATTATACACTACATTATACACTACACTATATTATACACTACACTACAATACACTACACTATACACTATACACACTACACTATTATACACTACACTATACACTACACTATACACTATACACTACACTACTATACACTACACTATACACACTACACTACACTATACACTACACTACTATACACTACACTATACACTACAATATACACTACACTACATTATACACTACACTACTATACACTACACTATACACACTACACTACACACACTACATTATACACTACACTATACACTACACTACATTATACACTACTATACTATACACTATACACACTACACTATTATACACTACACTATACACTACACTACATTATACACTACATTATACACTACATTATACACTACATTATACACTACACTATACACACTACACTACACACACTACACTACACTATACACTACACACACTACACACTACACTACATTATACACTACACTACTATACACTACACTATACACACTACACTACACACACTACATTATACACTACACTATACACTACACTATACTATACACTACACTACACACACTACACACACTACATTATACACTATACTATACACTACACTATACACTACACTATATACACTACACTACATTATACACTACACTACTATACACTACACTATACACACTACACTACACACACTACATTATACACTACACTATACACTACACTATACTATACACTACACTACACACACTACACACACTACATTATACACTATACTATACACTACACTATACACTACACTATATACACTACACTACATTATACACTATACTACTATACACTACACTATACACACTACACACTACACTATACACTACACTATACACTACACTACATTATACACTGCACTACTATACACTACACTATACACTACACTACATTATACACTACACTACATTATACACTACACTACAATACACTATACACACTACACTATTATACACTACACTATACACTACACTATACACTACACTATATACACTACACTACATTATACACTATACTACTATACACTACACTACACACACTACACTATACACTACCCTACACTATACACTACACTATACACTACACTATACACTACACTATACACTACACACTACACTACATTATACACTACACTATACACTACACTACATTATACACTACACACACTACACACACTATACACTACACTATACACTACATTATACACTACATTATACACTACATTATACACTACACTATACACTACACTACATTATACACTATACTACTATACACTACACTACTTTACACTACACTATATTATACACTACACTATACACTACACTATACACTACATTATACACTACACTATACACTACACTACACTATACACTACACTATACACTACACTATACACTACACTATACACTACATTATACACTACATTATACACTACACTACACTATACACTACACTATACACTACACTATACACTACACACACTACACACTACACTACATTATACACTACACACTACACTACACACACTACACTACACACACTACACTACACTATACACTACACACACTACACTACATTATACACTACACTATACACTACACACACTACACTACATTATACACTACACACTACACTGCATTATACACTACACTATACACTACACACACTACACACTACACACACTACACTACATTATACACTACACACACTACACTACACTATACACTACACACACTACACACTACACTACACACACTACACTACACACTACACTATACACTACACACTACACTACACACTACACTATACACACTACACTACACACACACTACACACACTACACTACATTATACACTACACACACTACACTACACACTACACACACTACACTACACACACTACACTATACACTACACTACACTACACACTACACACTACACTACACTACACACACTACACTACATCATACACTACACACACTACACTACACACACTACACACTACACTACACACTACACTATACACTACACTATACACTACACTACACACTACACTACACACACTACACACTACACACACTACACTACACACTATACACTACACTACACACTACACACACTACACACACTACACTACACACACACTACACTATACACACTACAGCCAGCACCGTTCAGTGCTACGACTGGGCTACAGGCGGCACTGTGGTGTCTGGGGACTACAGCCTACCCAGACTACAGCCTGGATTACTACTACAGTCAGCCACAGGCTGTGGCTACTACTACAGCCTGGATTACAACTCCAATCAACAACACAGACTGTGTAAACACTACTACAGCTGACTACCACAGACAGCCACACAGCTTGTGAACATTACCACAGCCTGGATTACTACAGCCAGCACCACAGCCTGTAACTCTACTACAGCCTGGGATGACAGTCAGCACCGCAGGCTGTGAACGCTACTACAGCTGACTACTACAGACAGCCACACAGACTGTGGATGCTACTACAGCCTGGGATGACAGTCAGCACCGCAGGCTGTATTCGCCACTACAGCTTGGATTACTACAGCCAGCCCACACAGCCTGTGAACGCTACTACAGCTGACTACTACAGTCAGCCACACAGCCTGTATTCGCTACTACTACAGCTTGGATTACTACAGTCAGCCACAGCCTGTGAACGCTACTACAGCCTGGATTACGACTACAGTCAACAACACAGCCTGTAAACACGACTACAGCTGACTACTACAGCCAGCCACACAGCCTGTATTCGCTACTACAGCTGACTACTACAGCTTGGATTACTACAGTCAGCCACACAGACTGTGAATACCACACAGCCTGTATTCTCTACTACAGCCTGGATTACTACTACAGCCAGCCACACAGCCTGTATTCGCTACTACTACAGCTTGGATTACTACAGTCAGCCACAGCCTGTGAACACCACACAGCCTGTATTCTCTACTACAGCCTGGATTACTACTACAGTCAGCCACACAGCCTGTAAACTCTACTACAGCTTGGATTACTACAGCCAGCAACACAGCCTGTATTCGCTACTACAGCCTGGATTACTACAGTCAGCCACACAGCCTGTATTCGCTACTACTACAGCTGACTACTACAGCTTGGATTACTACAGTCAGCCACACAGCCTTGAACACCACACAGCCTGTCACTACTACTACAGCTTGGATTACTACTACAGCCAGCCACACAGCCTGTATTCGCCACTACAGCCTGGATTACTACTACAGCCAGCAACAGCCTGTATTCTCTACTACAGCCTGGATTACTACTACAGCCAGCCACACAGCCTGTCACTACTACTACAGCCTGGATTACTACAGCCAGCCACAGACTGAACACCACTACAGCCTGGATTACTACTACAGCCAGCAACAGCCTGTAAACTCTACTACAGCCTTGGATGACAATCAACAACACAGACTGTGAACATTACTACAGCCTGGATTACTACAGCCATACACGCAACCTGTGTAGACACTACTACAGCTGACTACTACAGCCAGCACCACACAGCCTGTATTCGCTAGTACAGCCTGGATTACAACTCCAATCAACAACACAGTCTGTGTAACCACTACTACAGCTTGGATTACTACAGTCAACAAGACAGCCTATAAACACGACTACAGCCTGGATTACTACGACGGCTGTGAACTCGTGTTGTTGTTGCTGCTGCTGCAGCTGCAGCTACCTGGATGATGATGCTAAACAGGCCCCGACGACTACAGGCCAAGCTCCAAGTGCGCGGTGTGTGTGTGTGTGTGCGCGAGGAAAGACCACGACAGGCGAGGGACTACAGCGTGAGCTACAGCCGGGAACTACAGACTACAGAATCAACTACGGGCTGACTGCTATCGCTACAGAATAAACTACAAGCTGACTGCTATCGGTTGAGCTACAGAATAAACTACAGGCTGACTACTATCGGCTAAAGCTACAGAATAGACTGAAACTACAGGCAAACAAGGATCTACTGAAGCTACAGAATAGACTGAAATTACAGGCAGACATCAACGATCGGCTGAGCGACAGACTAAACTACAGGCTGACTACTATCGGCTAAAGCTACAGAATAGACTGAAACTACAGGCAAACAAGGATCTACTGAAGCTACAGAATAAACTGAAACTACAGGCAGACATCAACGATCGGCCGAGCTACAGACTAAACGACAGGCTGACTACTATCGGCTAAAGCTACAGAATAGACTGAAACTACAGGCAAACAAGGATCTGCTGAAGCTACAGAATAAACTGAAACTACAGGCAGACATCAACGATCGGCTGAGCGACAGAATAAACTACAGGCTGACTGCTATCGGCTGAGCATCAGACTAAACTGAAACTACAGGCAGACATCAACGATCGGCTGAGCTACAGACTAAACTACAGGCAGACAATCTATAAATATCATCCGAGCTACCACCTTTACAACAGAAATAAGACTAAAGCCTGAACTACAGGCAGAGTGAACTGTGAACTACAGGCGGGGCCGACTGAAGGGCTACAGTCTGAACTACAGTCTGAACTACAGTCTGAGCTACGCTTTGATCTGCGTGAACATCACGAACCGGGACTGGAAGCCTGAACTACAGGCAGAGAACCGGGTGTTGTGAGCTGTGGTCTGGACTGTAGTCATGGCAACAGCGCTGAACTACAGGCAGAGAACCGGGTGTTGTGAGTTGTGGTCTGGACGGTAGCTATGGCGACAGCGCTGGGCTACAGGCAGAGGACCGGGTGTTGTGAGTTGTGGTCTGGACGGTAGCCATGGCGACAGCGCTGGGCTACAGGCAGAGAACCGGGTGTTGTGAGTTGTGGTCTGGACGGTAGCCATGGCGACAGCGCTGGGCTACAGGCAGAGAACCGGGTGTTGTGAGTTGTGGTCTGGACGGTAGCCATGGCGACAGCGCTGGGCTACAGGCAGAGACCCGGGTGTTGTGAGCTGTGGGTGAGACTGTAGCCAGGGCAAGAGAGCGATCGGGAAAACTACAGTCGGAGCTACGGGCCTCCACTACAGGCGGAATCTCTTGGCGCGTGGGATCGCCGATTGTTGGAACAGCCACCGAAATGTTGTGACTGGGCACCAAACTACAGCAGGATGACAACCACCAACCCTCATCATCATCACTCGTCACCGTCAATATCATCATCATCGTCAATACCATCATCGTCAATACCATCATCATCAATACCACCATCATCAATACCATCACCATGTAATATCACCACCATTCAGTACCACCACCATCATCACCACCATCAATACCACCACCACCAGTAACACCACCATCAATGCTATCATCACCACCATCATCATCACCACCATCATCACCATCATCAATACCACCATCAATACCACCATCACCACCACCACCACCATCATCATCACCACCATCATCACCACCATTCAGTATACCACCACCATCAATGATATCATCACCACCATCATCATCACCACCATCATCACCATCACCACCATCAATACCACCATCAATACCACCATCACCACCACCACCACCATCATCACCACCATCACCACCACCATCACCACCATCACCACCATCATCACCACCATCATCACCACCACCATCATCACCACCGTTCAACACCATCACCATCATCACCACCATCACCACCGCCATCACCACCACCACCACCACCATCATCACCACCATCATCACCACCACCATCACCACCATCACACCATCATCATCACCACCACCATCACCACCACCATCACCACCATCACCACCATCACCACCACCACCATCACCACCATCATCATCCACCACCATCATCACCACCATCACCACCACCACCATCACCACCACACCACCACCACCATCACCACCATCACCACCACCACCATCACCACCACCATCACCACCACCATCACCACCATCACCACCACCATCACCATCATCACCACCATCACCACCATCACCACCACCATCATCACCACCATCATCACCACCATTCAGTATACCACCACCATCAATGCTATCATCACCACCGTTCAACACCATCACCATCAATACCACCATCACCACCACCACCATCACCACCACCACCACCATCACCACCACCACCATCACCACCACCATCACCACCATCACCAAGTAATATCAGCTCGTGGTGCATCGCTAATCCCACGTGGGAGTTTGCGTCGAGGCTGCTGCTGTTTGGTTCATATCGCGCCTAGGTCCACTCAGCCTTGAGAGTAGTGGGGGGGGTGACGTTATGTAGATTATTGATGAGCTCCGTGACTGTCGAATCGATTTTAACCCCAATAAAGATGAGATGGTGATGGTGATGGTGGTGATGGTGGTGATGGTGATGGTGGTGATGGTGGTGGTGATGGTGGTGGTGATGGTGGTGATGGTGGTGAGGGTAGTGATGGTGGTGATGGTGGTGATGGTGGTGATGGTGGTGGTGATGGTGGTGGTGATGGTGGTGATGGTGGTGATGGCGGTGATGGTGGTGGTGGTGATGATGGTGGTGATGATGATGGTGGTGGTGATGGTGGTGGTGATGATGGTGGTGATGGTGGTGATGATGGTGGTGATGATGGTGATGATGGTGATGATGGTGGTGATGGTGGTGATGGTGGTGATGGTGGTGGTGATGGTGGTGGTGATGGTGGTGATGGTGGTGATGGCGGTGATGGTGGTGGTGGTGATGATGGTGGTGATGATGATGGTGGTGGTGATGGTGGTGGTGATGATGGTGGTGATGGTGGTGATGATGGTGGTGATGATGGTGGTGATGATGGTGATGATGGTGGTGATGGCGGTGATGGCGGCGGTGATTGCGGTGGTGTATTCCACAAATATGCCCGACTGTGAGGGCGGGCACAAGCCGGCGTTAAACGTTGAGTTTTATAAGGGCACCACGGGGTGACCAGCCCCTCCTCACCCAGCCCCTCCCCACCCAGCCCCTCCCCACCCAGCCCCACCCCCCACCCAGCCCCACCCAGCCCCACCCAACCCCCTATTCTCGGTTCTTTCGGTAAAGTCACGTAGAAGGGAAATAATAAAATAATATTATTATTTACCCAAAGAAACAAGAATCCACACTCTTTGATTCTCTCGGTGAAGTCCACGTAGGTAGAAAAAAATGAATGGATCACGACGTTTCGACCGCAACGCAAAGAATCAAAGAATATGGATTCCTGCAGTTGACCAAAGCTTCGAGTCAAGTCAGAAATGAACAGTTTTTGATTTAAGGAATACCTCAAACACGCGTCAAGACCAGAGGTCGCAAACGGGTTTTGATTCCTTACCCGAACCCGGCCGCACCAGGGTCGACAACGGGTACCCGTACCCTACCCGATACCCGGCTACCCGTACCCGGCCGGGTACGGGTACGGGTATCGGGTACCTGATTGCGACCTCTGGGATGAAGCCATGTTGCAGGCGCGGGTGGGTTGATTCTAGGAACTTGAATTGTGAGAAGAGACAAGACGTTGGGAAATGAGTGACAGTTACTCACCAGTGACTCACGGCCTACCCGTACCCGTACCCGGCCGCACCAGGGTCGCAAATGGGTACCCGTACCCTACCCGTACCCGGCCGGATATCGGGTATCGGGTACCCAGTTGCGACCTCTGGGATGAAGCCATGTTGCAGGCGCGGGTGGGTTGATTCTAGGAACGTGAATTGTGAGAAGAGACAAGACGTTGGGAAATGAGTGACAAACGGTGACTCACCGGTGACTCACGTTCTACCCGTACCCGGCCGCACCAGGGTCGCAAACGGGTACCCGGCTACCCGTACCAGGCCGGGTACGGGTAGCCGGGTATCGGGTAGCGTACGGGTATCGGGTACCCGGTTGCGACCTCTGATTCCAACTGTTTAGAATCCCCCTTGGTTTGACGTTCAGTTTGTTGAACCCATGACATCACTTGGGGAAATAAAACGACATGTCTCGGACCGTTTTCGTGAACACAAAGCAGATCTGAAACACGGCAGGACCAATACCTCTGCCGTTGCTGATCATTGTGTTAATGCTGTGGGCTCGCACGAGTTTGATTTTCCCAAGACGGAGGTACTCTGCAAACCCACCGGCTACTTTCAAAGCTTTGTTCATGAAGCCATCTAGATGTATAAACACAGACACAACTTCAAAGCGAGAAGATGGGTACAAACCAGAGGTCGCAAACGGGTTTTGATTCCTTACCCGTACCCGGCCGCACCAGAGTCGCAAACGGGTACCCGTACCCTACCCGATACCCGGCTACCCGGCCGGGTATCGGGTAGGGTACGGGTATCGGGTACCCGATTGCGACCTCTGGGATGAAGCTATGTTGCAGGCGCGGGTGGGTTGATTCTAGGAACGTGAATTGTGAGAAGAGACAAGACGTTGGGAAATGAGTGACAAACGGTGACTCACCAGTGACTCCGGCCTACCCGTACCCGGCCGGGTACGGGTAGCCGGGTATCGGGTACCCGATTGCAACCTCTGGTACAAACTGAACAATCATTGGAAGGACGTTATTAAGCAGGTAAAGTCTTAACTGACAGTGATTTTTCCATCCTACCTGCCTATGTCAGCTGTTATTTCCGACTCTCTGTCTCTCTGTGTCTCTCTGTGTCTCACTCTCTCTGTCTCTCTCTGTCTCTCACCATGCGTACCTCTTGTTCTTAGGGTTTTTTTTTTCTTCCTGTTGCCCGGCTCTCTGACATTGACACGCCAATCTTCTCATCGGCACGCATCCGGTGGCTGGGCTGCCTCACATTGACACGCTAATCTCTCGCATTGACATCTTCAAATCAATATTTACGCACAATTCTAGATTTGAAGCTTTCGTGACTGCAAGGATTCATACTCTTAGGTTTTTTCGGTAAAGTCACAGGTTACATCAGCCTCACCTTAACAACTCTTTTCAACCAGTCTACACAACGAAAGGCTCATTCCTGGCAGCGGTTTCAGCCGCACCACCTCTACATAACAAAAGGCTCAGTCCCATTTACATTCACCTTCATATCATCCTCACCTTAACAACTCTTTTCAACCAGTCTACACAACAAAGACTCATTCCTGGCAGCGGTTTCAGCCGCACCGAACCTCAGAATAATAATAATATCCAGGGCCTACCTTGGCTCCTTCCACCCTCAACCAGTATACAGTAAAACCTTGGATTGCGAGCATAATTCGTTCCCGGCAACGTGTTTGTAATCCAAAGCACTCGTATATCAGTTGTGATCACGTGATGCTCGGCAGACAAAGCGTGTGCACGTACTGCTCGTATTGCAAGACCTCGCTCGGTTATCAAATTAGTATTTTAAGAATTTGCTCGTCTTGCAAAACACTCGCAGACTCGCAATCCAAGGTTTTACTGTATCTACAAGGATTGTTTTCTTGGAATTTCGCTCTCACTTGATGCAGCTATCGTGGCTGTGACGGTTCCACCTGAAGACGGAAGCTTGTGTTGCCTCCGAAACGTCGTGATTTTTATTTTATTAATTAGAATTTCTTACCTACGTGACTTTACCGAAAAAAACCTAAGAATATATACGTACAAACCCCACCTACCCTTGGGGTTGGACCCACCAAACATCCTACAACGTAGGAACTTGGACACCGAATTCGTGCACGGCAGAAAGCTTGCGGTCACGTGACGCACTTCAACCAATCCGGGAGCGTGCTACATGTATGGGAGGGGCTATGCACGACAAATTGCACTGGTCAACAACAAAAAAATGTCTGGCCTGGACTTTTGCAGCTGTTCTAGACTAATTTCACAGGGTGCTGATTCCAAATCTGATCTCAGATTTGCTCCGTCACATCTCATTTTGATGATATCCGCATACCCCCATTTTCACTGATTTTACCCCAAATTAATTCCGTCAATTATGATTGCAAGTTGTTGCGAGCCAGTGACTTGCTTTAGTGTTAAAATGTGGTGCAGTATTTTTAGGACAGTGTGTTTATAATATCATTTTATGTAGATATCCGCATTCATTTAATATTTTTCTTCCGCCGTTTTTATTGAAAATGTAATATTTGATCTCTCAAAAACCCGATGTGTGTGAGACAAAAACCTGATGCCAGATTTGGAATCAGCACCCCAAAATTACCTTAAAACCCGTTGGAATACCTTGTGCCAGATAAAGTGTGTTGACCAGTGAAATCCCTGGTGGGCAGTGTGGAATCTGTTGTTTCTACCTCCAGCAACTCTTGTCACAGCGACAGCAGGCCTCCTTACTTGCTTGCGTTGCGATCGAAACGTCGTGATCCATTTATTGTTTCTACCCACGTAGACTTCACCGAAACAATCAAAGAGTGTGGATTCTTGTTTCTTTCGGTAAATAATTGTATGATTTTATTATTTCCCTTCTACGTGACTTTACCGAAAGAACCAAGAAGATGCTTCAAATCAAGTCAGAAATGAACAATTTTTGATTTAAGGAATACGTCAAACGCGCGTCAAAACTTATTTCTGCACCAGGTGAAGTCTTGCCTTGTGTGTCGGCCTCCAGACCGCCTCAATGAAACAGAAGTGCGGTTGAAATTGAATTTATATTTTTTTAATATTTAAACAAAAATCGGCAGTATATTTATTATCACCGTCGGTTATGAAATATCAACATCACACAAATCCCAGAGTCAGTCAACAGCAGTGAATCTTTGGTTAGGACGTCGCATATCCGAACTGTGTGTGGGTGGGTGGGAGTCTGTGTCCGTGTGAGTCTGTGTGAGTCTGTGGGTCTCTGTGCGAGTCTTTGGATCTGTGTGAGTCTGTGGGTCTCTGTGAGTCTTTGGGTCTCTGTGCAAGTCTCTGGGTGAGTCTGTCGGTCTCTGTGAGTCTTTGGGTCTCTGTGTGAGTCTGTGGGTCTCTGTGCAAGTCTCTGGGTGAGTCTGTCGGTCTCTGTGAGTCTGTGGGTCTCTGTGTGAGTCTGTGGGTCTCTGTGCAAGTCTTTGGATCTGTGCGAGTCTGTGGGTCTCTGTGTGTCTTTGGATCTCTGTGTGAGTCTGTGGGTCTCTGTGCAAGTCTCTGGGTGAGTCTGTCGGTCTCTGTGAGTCTGTGGGTCTCTGTGTGAGTCTGTGGGTCTCTGTGTGAGTCTTTGGATCTGTGTGAGTCTGTGGGTCTCTGTAAGTCTCTGTGTGTGTCTTTGGATCTCTGTGTGAGTCTGTAGGTCTCTGTGCAAGTCTCTGGGTGAGTCTGTCGGTCTCTGTGCGAGTCTCTGTGGGTCTCTGTGAGTCTCTGGGTCTCTCCGAGTCTCTGGATCTCTGTGTGAGTCTGTGGGTCTCTGTGTGAGTCTGTGGGTCTCTGTGTGAGTCTTTGGATCTGTGTGAGTCTGTGGGTCTCTGTAAGTCTCTGTGTGTGTCTTTGGATCTCTGTGTGAGTCTGTCGGTCTCTGTGTAAGTCTGTAGATCTCTGTGCGAGTCTGTGGGTCTCTGTGTGAGTCTCTGTGCGAGTCTGTGGATCTCTGTGCGAGTCTGTGGGTCTCTGTGCGAGTCTGGATATCTGAGTCTGTGGGTCTCTGAGAGTCTGTGGCTCTCTGTGTGAGTCTGTGGGTCTCTTTGAGTCTCTAGCTCTCTGTGTGAGTCATTAGGTCTCTCTGAGTCTCTGCATCTGTGAGTGAGTGAGTCTGTGCGAGTCCGTGTGAGTGTCTCCAAGTTGGTCACATTAATTCATCACTGCAGGAATCCGATGAGGCATATCAAAGATATTTATATCCCATCCCCCACGGACATTGCAACAGCTCGCAAGATGTACTAACAAGACTCGTTATCACCTCGGCAGCATCGTATAAGGCACCTTTCATATCGGAGGACATCTCTCTCCGCAGGACGAGCGCATAACAAGTGTAACCCGTAAAAACAAAGTTTTTCACTATAAATCCTTTATATGCGTGGCGGCTAGAGTCCTCTCGTCCTCTGGCTTGAGATGGCTGCCACCTATGGGTCAGATGATTGCATTGCACCATTAAGCAATTGGTAATTAAATATAATATTTTTGTCCTAAAAAGTGTAAATTAATTGTCACGCACAACGAGTCTGTGTGGAAAATGTCAGCTCGATTGGATCACGGGAAGTGGGTAAAAAAACGACCGAAAGATTTGCACGGTCCTAAGCAAGCAAGCGAACTTAATATAAAGGATTTAATAAAGGATTTAAAAATATATTCGCCTGTGGAGGACGCGGGGATCGATCCCGCGACCTTTGGCATGGGAAGCGAGGGCGCTACCCACTGCGCTACTCCGCCACGGCCTGTGGAGGGGTTACGCTCTGGGCTCTTACACTGTGACGTTCAGCCAAAGCCATGAATGAGTTCTATTTGAATAAATGTAAAATAAAAAATGTTTTGCCTAAAAAGTGTAAAATTTTGGAAAAAAATTTTCACTAACATTAATTGTCTCGCACAACGAGTCTGTGTGCAAAATGTCAGCTCGATTGGATCACGGGAAGTGGGTTAAAAAACGACCGAAAGATTTGCACGGTCGCAAGCAAGCAAGCGAACTTAATATAAAGGATTTAAAAAATAAAATAAAACGATGCTCAAGAGGTACAGGCAATGGCCTCGTCTAAACAAGAACGGGCCGAAATAAAATAAAAATTGTTTAATATAAAAAAAATCTGCAGTATATTAATTTTATTCGTATTATCACCATCGGTTATAAAATATCAACATCACAAAAGCTCCCGAGTTAGTGAACAGCAGTGAATCTTTGGTTAGGACGTCGCATATCCAACCCGTGTGTGTCGGTTTGACGGAACAGCGGAGGGCGGGCCCATGTCCTTGACACCAGGACCTACCGTGGAGCTGATCTGCCCACTGACCATCGACTGGTCATCTGTAAGATGCGCCTGCCATTCTTCCACTCCTGTGGTGGGTGTACACCCAGGACCCCATTCAAACCCTGAGTGGCCTGGTCTCAGCTGATGAAATTTTGACAGTTCAGCGGATGCGAGCCCATGTCCTTGACACCAGGACCTACCGTGGAGCTGATCTGCCCAAGGACCATCGACTAGTCATCCGTAAGATGCGCCTGACATTCTTCCACTCCGGTGGTGGGTGCACACCCAGGACCCCATTCAAACCCTTAGTGGCCTGGTCTCAGCTGATGAAAGTTTGACGGTTCAGCGGATGCGAGCCCATGTCCTTGACACCAGGACCTACCGTGGAGCTGATCTGCCCACTGACCATCGACTAGTCATCTGTAAGATGCGCCTGCCATTCTTCCACTCCTGTGGTGGGTGTACACCCAGGACCCCATTCAAACCCTGAGTGGCCTGGTCTCAGCTGATGAAAGTTTGACGGTTCAGCGGATGCGAGCCCATGTCCTTGACACCAGGATCTACCGTGGAGCTGATCTGCCCACGGACCATCGACTGGTCATCTGTAAGATGCGCCTGCCATTCTTCCACTCCGGTGGTGGGTGTACACCCAGGACCCCATTCAAACCCTGAGTGGCCTGGTCTCAGCTGATGAAAGTTTGACGGAACAGCGGATGCGAGCCCATGTCCTTGACACCAGGACCTACCGTGGAGCTGATCTGCCCACTGACCATCGACTTGTCATCTGTAAGATGCGCCTGCCATTCCATTCTGGTGGTGGGTGTACATCCAGGACCCCATTCAAACTCTTAGTGGCCTGGTCTCAGCTGATGAAATTTTGACGGTTCAGCGGATGCGAGCCCATGTCCTTGACACCAGGACCTACCGTGGAGCTGATCTGCCAACTGACCATCGACTAGTCATCTGTAAGATGCGCCTGCCATTCTTCCACTCCGGTGGTGGGTGTACACCCAGGACCCCATTCAAACCCTGAGTGGCCTGGTCTCAGCTGATGGAAGTTGCAAGCGAGAATTGCATCGCTTGCGGCTGGGGTTAGCATCATCTCCTACTCCTGATGTTGAGGGGAAATGGGCGAGGTTTAGGACTGTGGCTCATGCAGCTGCAATGGCTGCTTGGGTTACACGGTCCAGACCTCCCCAGAGACCCTGGCTGACAGAGGTGGTGTTCAGGCTGGCTGAGAAAAAGCGACAGGCCCACTCTCATCGTCTACAGCATCAGAGAATGAGGAGGCTTACCGCAGCCTTCGCTCGGAGGTTCGGAGAGCCGTGAGGCGCTGCAATGATGGGTGGTGGTCGCGGGTTGCTGAGGAGATGGAGTCTGCCTCAGTGGCCCGCGATCACAAATCACTATTTAACTCCATCAAAAAAGTAACCTGCAGCGCCACACCTATTACCATCATTAGGGGAAAAAACGGTGATCCAATCTCTGACCCCCAGGAACAGGTTTGCAGATTTGCTGAGCATTTCTGAGGTCCTGGGGGGGGAGGGGAAATCCCTCGGCCTGAAAAACGTGGGACAGTGGGGATAACCCTGCTGAGGCTGCGGTGCCTCAAATATTGGAAGAAGTCACCCCCTGAGGTGCCATCTGTGGAGGAAGTACTGAAGGCAATCCAGAGTCTGAGACCAGAAAAAGGCACCAGGCAGACATGATCTCCCAAGCGAAATGCTGAGGGAGGGTGGCGTTTGTGCACAGACTGCCCAACATGATATCATAACAACAGTCGGGACCACTGGGCGGGTTCCGCAGGATTATAAGGATGCCCTGGTGGTCCCCCTCTTTAAGAAGGGGGACCGTACAGACTGTAACAACTACAGGGGCATCGCACTCCTCAGTGTGCCGGGAAAGGTCCTGGCAAGGATTATTCAACATCACCTTGCTAGGCACGCTGAGGAGAGGCTTGCAGAGCCCCAATGCGGTTTCAGAAAAGGGTGGTCCCATACAGATGCCATTTTCTGTCCGTCTGCTAAAGCAGAGGTGTAGGGAATTGCAACAAGACCATCTCTGCTTTCTTGACCTGGTCAAGGCCTATGATACCATCAGTAGGCCTGGGCTCTGGGTTGTTCTTCATGCGTTTAGAGTCCCTGACCCTCTGCTCACGATCATTAAGGACCTTCATGATGGTGAGCGGGCCCGGGTAAAACTACGTGGCCGGGAGTCGAAGCCTTTCCCTGTACACCTTGGGGTGTGACAGGGATGTCCTCTGGCTCCCACATTTAACATCTATTTCGACCAAGTAGTTCATGAAGCCTTCGATGGCTGTACCGGAGTAATTTCCATCTGGTACAGATATAATGGGAGGCTGATCAATGCCCAGGTGCGGTCCAGTGATGACTCCCTATTGGTCAACCACGTTACGTATGCTGATGATCTGGTGATTGTTGCTCACTCAGAGGAGGAGTTGGAGGCGCTGCTGCTGAACCTGGAGCTTGCCACCAAGAGGTGGGGCCTTACCATCAACCCCACCAAAACTAAGCATCTGCCTGGGTATTTTGTATCATCAGACACTCCACCCCCACAACTCCCAATCGGTGATGGGGGCAGTTGTGCAGATAGTGGACAGTTTCCCATTCCTGGGCAGTGTGCTCATGACCGGCTCCGGTTTAACAGCAGAGGTCTCACTCCGAATCAGTCGAACGGAATTATCTTTTCATCGGTTGCGTAACGCTGTGTGGAAGCTGCCTGGTCTGTCGCTCCACACGAAGCTTCAGGTCTT